GCTTAGACCACCAGCACTTCTGAGGCACTTTTCTCCCGACCCTCGAAATGCCCTGCGCAGTGCACACCGAAAAAGAAACAAACCAGCGCGGCCAAGCCCTGAAAGTTGCGGCGCGCATATGACAAGGGCCCATGGCCGATGTACAGGCCAAGTGCCGGTGGTTCAAGTGCTCTACAGGACATGAAGCCTGTGTTGTTGCACTGCTTTCCACCTACAAGGACCCCAAGACTCTTCTTGTTTGTTCTTTGTCTGTTTACTCTTCTTGTTTGTTCTTCGTCTGTTTACTCTCCTTTATTGTTTGGAAAACTGCAGTTGAAGCGCTTCTTCAGAGATATTAGAATATAGCACATGATAAATTGATAATTGACTCAAAATTGAGTTGAATTGACTGATTTTTTAATGTCTTGATGTCATATTTTATGCTTGGTGCGTGTACCTTTTCAGGTTAATGAAATATGTACCTTGCTATGGCCAGCACTCAAGAGGAGTCAAGATTACCAACGTGCTGCTGCGGCAGCCGCACTCTCTGAATATGTTAAGCACAAGTAAATCTCTCCCCATGCCCATGGCTGTGGTTTCCACCAGCTCCTGTGTGATGTATTGTTCCTTAAAGCACACCCTCATTCCTGGCTCCTCTTAATTTATCTGTCTGTAAAGTTGTAAACGTAAGAAAGAAGAAATAAAGAACTACACAGAAAAGAAATCGATTTCAGTGTGCCTGATGCTGTCCACTCTTCCACTCCTTTCTTCATTTTTTGGACCAAGTCCTCTCTTTTAGCTGTTACTACTTGTTAGATACGTGACAATATATATATCGTCGTAGAGAACTGCCCGGTGAACCTTAGGCAGAAATGGAGAACAGGACAAGGAGCAGGGGCCTGTGACAGTCGGAGTTTCACCAACTCATCAGGAGGCTGAGTCCTGTATAGCCTGCAGAGTGCCCTGTTGGTCAAGTGATCCATGTCTTTGGTGAGGCAGGCCATAGGTTCGGTTCCTAGTGAGTTCATCTTGAACCTCCTGTTTTAGGAAGCCCTAACCGATGATACTGTTATTGATAATCCACCTCACTGACCTCAGTGTATATGATATGCTCAGACAAAATCATTTATGTAGGATGAACATATTCTTACGGCAGACATGCCCTTGGCATTGTTACCTTTGAAGTTAATATTTGCCTCACATGCTCGGTATGGTTCTCGTGGGCTGTGTGTGTTATGTCAAACGTGAGTCAGCGTTGGGGAGAAGCTCCTTGGGCAGCTTGTTGGAGCACTGAGTGCTCACATCGGAGATGAAGAAGCAATAGTAAGGAAACGATGTGTGACAGGTCTCGCAGAGGTACGCATGAACAAACATGGGCGAATAAGGCTAATAGCGGATGGCCGTGTGTCCTGTGCAAGATAGATAAGTTTGTAACTTTGTAGTTCTTTTTGACTTTTTAAAGTTTTTTTTTCTTCCTTTTTTTTTTTTTTTTTTTTTCTGGGCCATATCTTGATTTATGCGTGTCATCCTTGCGCAGGGGGGGGGCATGCTAAGTACCCTTCATACAGTTGTATTCCATATCTTGATTTATGTCATTCCAAATTTAACGGATGTCAAGAAGGACACAAGTTTGCAGTTGTATTCCGAATCTTTAGATCCTTTTTGAGCTCGTCACAGTTCACGGTATTTGCCATGGCTTCGTGGTCCAACCTGTGTTGATTTTGCACCATCATCTACCCATAACACCAAAGCTTATAATGAGCAAGATGGCTTGCTTCCCAGCTCCATTATTATTTTAATATTTTGTAATTGATGTGGCCTTCATGTTTTGGGCCATTAGACAATTTTAGGGCATTGGATTCAGGGGACCTCTGCAAGCATAGTTACCTCTCACAATTAAGGGGATGCATGTTGCCCCCCCACCCTAATCGGCGGTGGTCAGGGAGTAGGGTGGGGCCGCCGGTGTGGGGGACCAGCTAACACAAAGACGGTGCATTTTGCCAGTAGCTGCGCGTCCCATCTACTTCCCCCACCATTGAGTAGCGGCAGTGGCGGCCTTCAGATGATTTGGAGCTTGGGAAACTCATCAAGAACACTTGTCCACTCCTTCACCGTCTGCTAGAGCTTCGTCGACTCAGTTGGAAAGAAGGTCGTCCTTCAAAGGGTGCTTCAAAGAGCCCTGGTGTGGCTGAATGGTACACACATGTGCCTGTTGGTCAACAGGTCATGAGTTCGAACTCTGCTCGAATCGGACAGATGCAACAAGGTTATCTCTACTATACTTGTGGAACGTTCTTTCTTTGTGTAAAATAAGACCAATTCTTTTTTACATGCACACACAGTTTTCGGGCTCGATGTGGCCCCAGTTGTTTTTTCCCTTTGCACTCAGAATTTTCAGAAGGGAGGGGCAAGTTTGGCCACCACACCCTACCCTTTCAGAATTTTTCTACTGACCCCTATTTTTCCGGGATGCGCCGCATCACGTGTGCACGCATGCGTGCACGTGCATTATGCGCCACACGTGCGCAACTCGCATGCACATGATGTGGCGCCGCAAGTTTTTTTTGTTTTTTGTTTTTTTTTTTTTTCCCGGTACTGTAGTTGTGTAATGTTCTTTTTTTTTTGTGGCCCGATGGACCGCGGATCAGATATTAAACTGATTAGAACAGGCACTGGTATACTACTCTTAGCCAAAAGGCCGAAAAACGGGATTTCTAATTTCTCCCGGTGGAACCACGTGTGGTATTTGGGGAGGTATTTGTGGACAAAGCAAGGCCATTCTGCAGAAGGGTGGTCTGAAGAGTTAGCATAGAGTCCATGAGGAGGATGTGCTCGTCCTGTGCAAAGGAAGCGAGAGCTGGGACAGGGAAAAGGCGAGATGATGTTGCCATAATAGGCAGGAGGGAGAAGACAATAATTTTTTTATTCTTTTTTCTCTTTTTTTTTAACATGAATGGATTCACGCTGCAAGCCCACCAGTCCCTGTTACAGAGTCCCCAATTATTGCAGTCCACAGGCCCTACAGGTAGTTAAATCTTAGTGTCTGTACGTCTAGGCATCGTAGATCTGTAGGAACAGTACCTGTAGGATCACGCCAGTCCCCAAACGTCCAGTTTTTGCAGCAGCCTCACAAGAAAGGTGAGAACTTTCCCAAAATAGCAACTTGGCAGGGCAGAGGCAAAAGAAGGCCGGTACCGATTGAAGCAGGCAGGCCCAGCCCACGAAAACAATATATGTTGGGCTACAGTACCAGACAGCAGGCAGTTGTTCATTCCACCAATTTGTGGAGCGCTGTTGGAGCTGTGCGAACTAGTGACCTGGACGAAGAAGTGCGCAGAAGGGAGAAGACGCCCAGCGCCCTGGCTGAAGGAGACAGCCATAGCCAGGAGGGGGGAAAAGCAGACTTGGCGGCCATTACCGCCTGATGTTGACAGAGACACGCTGCAGTAGTATTCAGGGTAGATCTCGGACGAAGACAGAGGAGAGGACAGAAAGGGAGAGCAACGAGGGTGAACAGTGCASAGAGAGAGAGAGAGAGAGAGAGRGRGRGAGAGAAGCAGCAGATTGGACAGGTGAAAGTCGGGATTCGAGTCGGGGGTTGTTTCAGCAGTTGGTACCGCCGAATTCCAAACTTTTCCAATTGTATATTATTGTATCTGAGTGGAACTTCGAATTTGCACTGTTCATGGCCATATCTCAAGCTCGTTTGAGCTTTTATCTGATTGCTCTCAAGTGCAGTTGCTTTGTGAGTGAAATAGTGTCAGGATCTTTGCAAACAGGTCAATATATTGGAAAATAGGTTCGAGGCCTGGGACCTCACAATTCGACCCGGAGTTATCCTGGGAGCATTACCCAGTTTAGCTTACGATCCTTTTGCCCGCCTCAGAGCCTGTTCTTGTCTATCCATGTCTGTAGCCGTCTATGTTCCTTTTTCTAGCCTTCTGCGCCCCTCTCAGCTGCTTCATTGGGCTACTTGTTGGATTTATCCTGTATGTGTAACGGTGTAACCTCGTACCCAAGCGAGATTCTCTTTTGTTGAATATTTGGCTCGAAGGTTTGTGAAGACCAACGAGCTCTTAAACCACCACTACCTGGGACAGCCTCATTTTGACCAAATCGGTTACCATAATAGGGTCAGATTTTCCCCTGCTGTACTGCCCTTGGAACGGTATGGTAGCTACCCAGCCCATGTGGCTGAATGGTACACCCATGAACTGTTGATAACCAGACCTGAGGTAATCAGCTGAATAAAATATCTCTGAATCACCCTTGGGCTTGTCAATGCAATGGTGATACCTCAAGACAATCACCCATGTAAAAGAAGAAGAAGAAAAAGAAGAAGAAGACGACGAAGAAGAAGATATTGCACAGAGCCCTGTTAAGCTCGGCAAGTCCTGTCTACAGCCCCGCAGCGTTTAGTTCCTCCGGCAGAACAAGAGCAGATCAATGCACCTTATAGCCGAACAAGCAAATCCAAATATGCCGGCTCCCATTTTGTTTGATGAAGGGCTGTCACGCCTGCCCAAGATCACCTGTGATTCATGGCCCACAAGCGGCACTGTCATGTCCCAGCATTTTATAGGTTTGCTGCGTGTTTGTGTACCAGAACCCTGACCCCTTCTAACATGATTGATATCCTTTGAGTTTTCCGTTGGTCCTTGGCTTCGTACTCACCTAGTTTTGGCTTGGTCCTCAGGTGCCTAGTTCAGAAATGCCCAAGTATGCATCCCAGGTGCTAAGTGTTGTGGCAGCGGTAATAGAGGATTGTGTTGAGGATGTTGCGTTCACAGCAGTGAGGGAGCTCAGCAAGGTGCGTACCGCAGCTGTACTACACAGTTTCTCACCTGGTCTTGAACTTCCGACCTGATAAAATACACTTCTCACTTGCCTTGCCTTGCACTTCCATGCATGAGTTGAACTGGTGCTGATCATGCAGAGGTACAACACGACACGCATCAGCCCAACGAGATGTAGAATGAGCATAAAATATTATTCAATACCAGCTATGCAGTACTCCTACTCCTACTACTCGTAACCTCCCCTCCTCCGAGCGTGTGCTCCAACTACATGATCTGTCTGCGTTGACTAGTCAAGGTTTGATTGAAGCACGACTGTCCCATGCATCCTGTCGACTGGTTCGTGGTTTTTTCTAAGCGGGACTGAGTACCATTTTTTGATAGAAGCGGGTCCGAGTCCCATGCACTGTGTTTGATGGATCATGGTTAATTGAAGTATATGACTACGTCCCATGATTTGTGTTGACTAGCTCATTGTTGTTCGAAGCGGGACTAAGTCGTTAAATGTGTAAATATATCTCTGTTGTCCTCTTTTCCCCTCGTCAACGACCATCACAGTTAAAGACCGAGAGATTTGCATTTCTCTGTTATGTTGCTGTCTTTGATCTGTTTGCTGAAATTTCCAGTCTGAGTCTGTTTTTGCGGTGTTTCTCTGAATCTGTATGTCCCGCATGTGCTGTCTGAGGCCAAGTCTGTGTTCCTGTGCTCACTCGGTCTTGGATGCTGTATTTGTGTCAAGGACAAGGGCAGGCTAGCATTTAGGCGTAAATACAGGGTGAGAACTGAAGTTTGGCTATGGGAGGACTTACTGGAATTAAAAAATTAATAATAAGAATAATTTTCTTTTGAAATGCACTCCGAGGGGGGTTATCACAGGGGCCGATAAGAGCGGCCCCCCCGAGGTGCTCCCCAGGGTGGCTCCAATCTATTGGTGGGGAGCAACACCTGCTGGAAAACGGGTGAACCTGGTCACGTCTAGGTCTAGAGAGGGACTGGAGGCGGAGAGGCAAGTGTACATGATTCGGTGCAATGAGTAGGCTGGTTCATTCACTCAGCAGTCATGCCACGGCTCTGGCAAAAGGGAGGGCGTGCCGGAACTCCCCGGTGTCGAAGGAGGAATTGAGGATGATGGAAAAGACCTCCATGGCTATGGAGTAGGTGGAGAAGAGGGACAGAGCCTAGCAAGTAGTGGTAGATGCCCACACTGGGCTATGGAGAAATTAGGAGAGGGCACTAGTAGGCGAGAGGAGTATAAAGGAGGAGGGAACCGAGAGGTGGAGACTTACCTTTGCCTATGGCGGACCTTCATCTTCGCTTACCTGGTTTTGTTTGCTTCAAGAGGGGGCCCTCAAAGGGTACCGACTGGAATCGGACTGCATCTATGAGGCAGACATGGCTGTAGGAGGCGGGAGACGTGGTCCTCGGCCACATTTCCAGCTGTTTGATTATATGCAGCTTGTCCTTCGATTACCGGCACCCCACTGGACTGTGACAGGTAAAGCCTGGGGCTGGTGCAGATTGTACACTCTGAAGCATATTCTGCCTCAGCGACCTCCAGTGGATGGCAGAAAGAGACGAGGCAGAGAGAGAGACAGTAGAGGTTGTTATCATCGTTGGACCAAGGAACGCAAGTCGTCCATCACCAGGAGGGAGGGTGTAGAAGTGAGGTAGCCTCCTCCACGAGAAACACCTGCCGAGGGAGAGCACCCTAGGTTATGTGGGCTGGAAGAAGCTAGCAGCCATGGGAGCAGCGAAGATGCAGCAGTATCGGCACCGTGCGCTGGCCTTGATTGACTCTGGGTTGATAGTGCTGGCAGACGGAGAGCATCATAGCTTATCTGGGATCAAAGAAGGCAGGCATCCGTAGTTGGTGGGAGGTTGAAGGAAGCATCGAGGTCCGATTTTGATTGGCCCTGCCCTGGGGGAGCACAGTTCCGTACGCTGGATGTTGAAACCCTCGTAGATTGTCTGCCCAAAGAAGTCTGCAATGCTCTGCATTGATTGGCACTGCCCCTTATTTTCCATGATTTTATTAAATTGATAGCACTGCCAGAGGGGGAGAGCCGAAGAAAACCTTCTGGTGTGGAAGAAGGATGGCAGCCCTAGGCTTGAGGCCATAGGTTGTTTGCCGCCAGCCTTGGGAAGGTCCAGATGCCTGTGCTGGCCTCGGAGAAACCTCTGTTGGAGCTTGTTCTTGTCACTACCATTGCTGAAAACATCTTGTCTCCGGTCGGCGACTGAGTTTGACAGCTCAACTTTTGTTGAGGCTAGAGAGAGAGAGAGAGAGAGAGAGAGAGAGTTTTGGACTTCGACTAACGACTGGGACGTGAACATGGTTGCTAGCTTTGCATTAGGTGACTGCATTTTTTTTAGTTTACAAGTGTTCATTGCTTTTATGGGATATTCATTTTTCTGCCATGTTCGCACTTGTTGTCCCAGTGCTTTTTACATTCTGCGCTAGCACGGATCTGGCCAGTTTTATGGCCAGGTTCCTTGAGCATGAACATGGCATCAGTAGGGCCTGACCCTTGACACCCTGGATGAAACTGCTTACTCAGTTGCAGGTTACCATAAATCGTGGTGTGAACCTGGCCATGAAACTGGCCAGGTTCACGAACTACAGGCCACTCTGGATGTATGGCTATATCATGCCTGGTTGTCGAGACGTTGGTGAACTGATGCTCACTTTTTATTTGTATTTTGCCAGAGGATGGGAGAATTTTGTGATTGTGTGCTTCAGCGGATCTTGAACTTGAATTTGTTGTCTCTGTGCAGCTCACATTTCCACTATGTATAAAGTTCTTCAATTGCATAAGCACTCTGTGGGGAATTCTGTCTTATGTGTGATTGTTGACTTGGTGAGCGAAGGCGAGGTTCGGTGCACGACATTCGACAGACAAGATTGCAGTTGTATGCTCACAATACAATCACCAATGATATTGTGCAATAATATTTTCCACTGGCAGTTGAACTTCTCTCGTGTAGTTCTGTAAGAGAGTCAGTGGCAGGCACTAGCGTGCAGTAGTATCTTCTAATGTGGTCCTACTGCGTTCATGTTGTTTCTGACAGATACTGGAGCTGGTGACAGAGGAGACCGTGTCCCCCATGCTACTGAGTCTCTGTGTGCGCCTACGAGCATTGCAAGTGAGTCGTGCTTCAACTGACTGCAACGTGTCCTTGGTGTCTTTTCACCCCATTCCTTAGAAGGCTTGCCAAGCCAATCTTTGCCCCCGTGGGTTCCATAACCGACGTCAATGATCTGTAAGAACCTCATGAAGCGGAGAAGATGTGGTCATTTTTTTCTGTCCACACTGCACACACTAACGTCTTCACTCGAGTACACCATACCCTCATTATGAATACATACAAGCTATTTTTGCAGTCGGATACAGTCGTGATACAAACTATTTTTGCAGTCCAATACAGTCGTGATACGAGCTATTTTTGCGGTGCGAAACAGTCATGATAACAGTGCGTTGTGTTCGGTGGAAGACGGTAATACCTTCGCCCCATACCATGTTTGTGCATGCTTCTGCACGCACAGGGATTGCCAGTGATCCAGGTCCATAGACCTAGGTCCTAACTCTAGTTATGATAAGGACAAATTAGAACAGAGATTGAACCTAGAACTACTTAATACTAGTGAATTACTTGAACTAAAATACAACGAAGCGAAGAAGATGTGCAGCAGCTGGGCTAAGAGTTGAGATCCTAATTTGTCTCTCTGTGTATTTCTTCGAAAGTCTCGTCGGGCAGAGGCTATCCTCGCATCTCTCTGTCCATTGACACCATTCCCTTAAACCATCACTACCTTTCTGGACGTCCCGAGGAGGCTCGGCAGGGAGGGAAAAAAAAAAAAAAAAAAAAGATTGGGACCCTGTGGGCCCACGGTGAGGGAAAAAAAAAAAAACCACCCAAGTATCTTCAAACCCGGCGAGGTCAGGGAAGGCCCTCACGGAGGTGGAAGTCGCATGAGTGCTTTGAGGAATGTATCTGGCCACCATATGTGGAACGTGATTGTTGCTTTTTTAACTTTTTTTTTTCTTTTTTCTTTTCGTCTATTCATTTTTTTTTGCTGCCCTGCCAGCGAGGCAGGGTGTATATTCCACGCGGGGCAACTGACTGCCTCACTCACCTTATACTCACACTTGTACTGTAGCGTCGTGTATCGGACCGCAATCACAGCATAAGGGATTTTATTTTATTTTTCCGTTCTTCGTTTGTTGTTCATGGGACAGACGTCCTCACTGAGGGCACGGTCACGCTAGCACCTCATAGAATGCATCTGACGGCTATCACGATGTTAGGGAAGTCTCGTTTTCCTTCTTCTTCTTCTTCTTCTTGTTCTTTTTTCGATGCAACTGCCATGAGTACCGGTTCGGCAAAACAGGATCGGAGGTAGTGGTGGGTTAATAAAAAAACGCTTTGAAGGTACGAAGGCGTACCCCCGCAATACGCTTGGTTATCTGTTGAGCTTGGATTGGGTCAAGAAAGTAGAAGCCAAAATTGCTGCCAAAGTTGCAGCCAAACACAAGGCACCCTGATCATGAACCCAAATTTCTGGGGCCCACCTTAGCTTGGAGCTCAACCGTTTGAAGGCGTACCCCGGTAATGCGGTTGTTTATCTGTTGAGCTTGGATTGGATCAAGAAAATGGAACCTAAATACGAAGCACCCTGATCATGAACCCAATTTTTTGGGGCCCGCCTTAGCTCGGTACCCAATTCTTTTGCCATGGATAAAAACTTAAAAACTTTTTTGAAGTCCAGCTTGTTGTAGAGGTTGGAAGCCAGAGTCCTCTGGGACCTCCGTTAAAATTTGAAGGATACAGAGAAGGGTAATTAGCATGGCCCCTGCGGAAGGATGATACGCTTAAATTGAGAAATGGTCAATTTTTTTTACGACGACTATGGTTGGAAGCCAGACTATGACAGTCACTTCCACTGTGGTTGATGCTATTGATTGGTCCCCGATCAGGAGTATATACCCCCAGCCCAGCCCCTATCGTTTGCTTCCCTGCCATATCTTCTTCCGAATACAAGCCACCCTGATTCATGGATGTATAGTAGAGGCTGTAGAACTATCTTTTGGGTTTGAACTTTGAAGTTTAAAGTTTGAACCCAAAAAATATAGTGATTACAAAAAATACTGTGTAGTGCCCTACCTTAGCTTCAAATTTCAAACCCAGAACAACTTTTGGCTTGGATTTCTCTTGCATTTTATTGGACTTCTGCAGTTGCTCTTTTGAGTGGTTTCTCTGCGCAGGAGCTGAGCATTCTACTGAAACGGTTAAAACGGAATTTCAATTGTGTTTGTGTGTGTGTGTGTGCTGCAAACAACCCTTTCTGTCGGTCTGCCATGTCCTGGAATTTTGTGGTGATTATATTCAGAATCAAGAAAATGTTGGCATACGGGCTGCTGCCTTCTCCGCATTTGGTGTGCTTAGCAAATTTGGAGCTGGCCCACACCGAGAAGGATTCCTGGAGCAGGTTTGTTTCAACATCTTTCCTAGCGCCAGGTGTTTTCAGAGAAAAATTTACAAATACTACAAATTGAAAAATGAGTTTTAACTTTGAATCACCTAACTGTTTTCTTTTTCCTTCCTCCCTCCTTTTTCTTTTTTTTTATGATATTTGTGCAGATTCACCTATGAAGAACTTGTTACAACTTCTCTTTTCAATCACAATCTCCCAGCACTCCTAGCAGCAAACCGCCGAGATCACCACGATCGAGACACTTCACTGTAACATTCAATCGGTCGGAGCGACGGGCGGTGGGCAGGGACGTAATCAGCGTGAGCTGATGGCACGCGCTCTTTCATAAGCAAAACAAAAAGAAATAAAGAAGTAAATTGAAGAAGACAATTTTGAAAAAACATATGCGTACTATTGCGTAGACTTTTGGGGGGATCCTGTTTCTTTTGTTTTTCCCCCTCCTCATGTCTCGAGTTCTTTTTTTTTTGCTATGTCTTTGTATTCGCATATCAGCACAGGGAGTGTTTATTACTATCGGAAACACAGTGTTCCAGCTCTCAGTCAGCAGCAGAATTGCAGGCCACCCATCTGAATTCCTCTGGTCATATTTTCAGTTGCCAGTTTTTGCGCATTAAGGCATACTCGCACTCTCTTCTTCATCCAGAGCCTAACTTGTCCGGAAAGCTGTCAGCTTACGAATGTGGTTTTGCAGGTGACCCGTAAGGTCCCCCATGGTTATCAAAGTGTGCGATTGAACTTCACGCTAGGGGCATATGGCTTATTACCCTCAACTGGCAACAGTAGAGGAAACCAAGCATGCCATGAAAGCACATTCATAGAGAGGCATCATCTCGAAGAGCAGACGCTGCGCGTCTGCAGGTCATGTTGAGGCCTTTTACAGTGTAATATGTATGTACTATGTATCCCTTATCAGAAAACAGAAAGAAATGTGCGAGAATACGAAAAACAAGAAACCAAGAACATGGATGTGCCAAAAAAGTGGGATATTTAACAAGACCAAAGTGGAAACATTTGCTGAAAGTATAGTTGGAATTAAAAAAAAGCAGCATCAATTCGTTGAAGACGCCAATGTGCCAATCCTTCCCTATTAGCTTTCATTCGTTTACACCTTTTCTAAACGACGAAGAGAATCTCAAGATATTCAATGTGACTATTAACGAAAAGGGGAGGCAAAAACAGCTCAAGACACTGAGGACAACAGAATTAGGGTTATAGTTACTGTAAGATACATGCAGTAAACTCCTGGTATGAGCGTACCCTCAGCGCATGTTCACACTAGGACTTTCTGCTCTTATCTCTAGACAGAATTGCGGCCAGGTACATCCAGGCCGGGTTGGAAATGCGGTCTTTGAACCGTCTTACACATCCAGGGAAGTCCTAGTGTGACTATGCCCTCAGAAGGCCAACCTTGACAGAGAGCCAAAGAGCTGAGGGGAAGAAAGCATAAAAACCAGAAAGAAACTGTGGGGGGGGGGGGGGGGGGGNGGAGGAGGGGAGGGTAGAGACTTGTTAGATTTGAAATCTGAAAGTCAAAAAGAAGAAGAATATGAAGAAGAAGAAGAAGAAGAAGAAGAAGAAGAAGAAGAAGAATTGAAATTTGAAAGTCAAAAACACCAGTCGTCTTTTTTTTTTTGGGTGGAAGGATAGAGACTTATTAGAATTGAAAGTCAAAGAGACGAACAGCAAACAATGTCATTACTGGCACCATGCATTCAAATGCAGACAATACCCATCCTTATGCATATGTGCCCTCTACAATGGGCCTTGCTCCATTAAATACAATTGGAAGGTGCATGGACTCCTTTGCCATCCAGATACATCCTGCATGGAGTCCTTCGCCATCCAGATACATCCTGTCTGAACCAACCTTCTGGACGTATCTGGTCGATTTCCTTGTGCAGAGGGGGGTACAACCTCATTCATTATTTTGTTCTACTAACTAACAATCTGGGATAAATGTCTATAGAGCTCGCTCACACTGCCTTCTTCTCCCCGGAGCACAACGCCGAGGCATCAGGAACATATGTGGGCCACCTTCCTGGACGTATCTGGTTGATTTCCTTATGCAGAGGGGGGTAAAAGTTCCGTACAACCTCATTTATTGTTTTGTTCTACTAACAATCTGGCATAAATGTCTATGGAGCTCGCTCACACTGCCTTCTTCCCCCCGGTGCACAACGTCCAGTCATCAGGAGCGTTTGTGGGCCACCTTCCTGGACGTATCTGGTCGATTTCCTTATGCAGCGGGGGGTACAACCTCGTTCATTATTTTGTTCTACTAACAATCTGGCGGAAATGTCTATCGACCTCGCTCACAATGCCATCTTTTCCCCAGAGCACAATGCCCAGTCATCAGGAACATACGTGGGCCACCTTCCTGATAGATGCAATGATAACGATGGGGCTTGGGGGAAGACAGTAGGACTGCGGCAATTGCTGCAGACAGGCATACTCGCATCAGGACTTCCCTGGGCAAATCTGGACGTAAATTGCTCACAGAGTTGCAGACAGACAGTGGATCGTGGTACGAAGGTAGGACGCCAGTGGATCTGCGGCATGCAGTTGTACCCAAGTTTTGTCAAGCAAGTCCTGGTATGAGTAGGGCTGTACAATGCATCTTCTGAAGAGTGCATTTTGGGTGTGTCGGTACAGCTATGGAAGGAGAACTGCATTGTGAATGGGATAGGCTACCGTTTTACCCTGAATAGAATACTGTCATTATCGTTGTCTCTAGACTGAAAGTTGCCCCTAGTACAGCTATACTGACAAGGTGGGCCACCGCCCGGCCGGCTCTGTCTAGCCAAATGTGCCCGGGCAAGGTGCGTGCCTGGCAAAACCAGTTGAGCCGGCAACAGGCCTTTCTTTTCTTTAGTAGTTCGGCCCTGACAGTGCTTACCAAGAGGATGCCAAATCTGCACTAAAATATGTGAACAATGAACATTTAACTTTAGTCAAGGCTTGTGTGGGCAGGGGGCTTAGGGTCGTGCTGGGGAGGGGAAGGCGATGGGGGAGGGGAGGGGTGGTGCTGACCGGCAGGGGGGAAAGTTGCATAGGGGCAGGGGGCGGGAAGGTCATGGAGCGGAGGGTGAGGCGATCATGAAGTGGTGGGCTAGGTGCTCGCAATGAGGGTGGAAAGGTTGCGCAGGGGAGAGGGGGGTTGATGGTGAGTGGGCAGGAAGGTGCTCGCTATGGGTGGGTAAAGGGTCACGCAGTGAGGGAGAGGCGATGGTGAAGTGGGGAAGGCTCTTCTCTCTCTCTCTCTCTCTCTCTCTCTCTCTCTCTCTCTCTCTCTCTCTCTCTC